AGATTTCCCTGATAAAAAATCTTGATATGACAGAAAAGTGTTTAGGAAACACAAAATAACACCAAATACTGACCTGATGTCAGATCCTGATCCGTGTCAGGGAGGTTTTATAATCATAACTCATCTACTGAGTAACTTTCACTCTTTGGAGACTCTCATCTTGATCCTGCTGCTGTCTGAGGCTGCAGGTGTTTGATAAGATCTGAGGAAATAAACAGCTGGAAGCAACAAACTAAACTCAGAATGCACTGATGTATAAGGGCCTCATTTATGATACAGCAAAGTAAGAAACTAAACAACATGATTAAAACAATAAAACACGCAGGAACGAGCAGGGCCAAAACAGCTGAAGGTAGAATAAATTAAAATAAAATAAGATGGAAATCCTTTACAGATTTATTACACCTTTATATTGTTTCTATAAAATGGAGATTTGGTTTGATCAGGTGGCGACTTGTGATGAGTTTTGTTCAAATAAACGGAGATTTGTGGGACGTTTTTCCAACTTTAAACCAGCGAGAAGCGTGAAAACAAATGCTCCAATACAGAAAGTTAACATGAAATCACCGAAACTCTTCAGGTGCTGTCACGCTCACGTAAAACTGCATTTTCTGGTGGTAAAAAGGTGATTAAAAAAACAGCTTTTGGGGCCTTTAACCATCAGAAAATATGAATTTGTTCTGTTTTTTGTTGTGATTTACGTTTCACTGTGTCACATTCCACCTTAAAAGTTTGTGTATTGAACAGTTAAAGCAACACAATCTGCAGTAAAGTGTAAAGAGGGGAAGAATGCATCGCGTTAACTGTTAAAAGTGACTTTTAACATTCTCAGAATCAGCTCAGAGAAAGTCCAGAGATCACATCTGAGCACAAGTGTTTAAATACATATATATCTATATATAGCACTGCAGCACCGACACTTCATTGAATCAATCTTTAACTATTTGTGAATGGAAGCACACGAGCAGAACAATAGAAGTTTTCATGATCGAATCCGTTTCACAGACGCTCCATTGATCCGCCGCCTGCAGCAGAACTGAGCGTCCGGTTCTGCTCAGAGGCGTCGTAGCGGCGGGTTAATCAATAAGACCAATGACGCTTTCACCAGACGACCTAAACAGTTGATCATTGGCGAGTTTTGCAACCTGGCAGCAGTTTTACATTCATGGTTTAGTTTTAAGCTCTGACCTGAACACACGCGGCTCGTTTTTAAGGCAAAATCATTCGTTGTTTTTCAAATTTGAGATGTTTTGCTTCTATAATATATATATTTTTTGACACTAATGGAGAGAAAACACCTTAAAGAGTTTATGACACGACGCTTTGTCTGTTTTTATATGCGCATTTCAACTATAATGCATGTTTTTCTCATGTTCAGTCATAAAACTCCACTTAAACTCCACTTACATTCACCAAATCTTCCTGTTTTATTCTGTGTTCTGGAGGTTTTTACAGAGAGGTTTGATTTCTAAAGTGCTGTTAAAAACAAACAAACAACAGAAAATAACAGATCATAAAAACACACAATAAATACGTTTACAGTCCTAATTTTACATTATGTCATGTTTGTTTGTTTTTTTTTGTTTTTTTACATGTTTAGGAAAACAAGAAATATTAATGACAATGTAAATAATACACATTAATTGCAAAAGACGTCTGTAATTATACAAGAAACGTTTAATAAATAAATCTGTGTAAAACTACAAAACCAAACCGTCCGTCAGCATTGAACTTGAATTTAACATTTACGTTAC